TACTGTAGCAGAAGAGCTACTGCTTTGTAATAAAATCTCACTAATGTGTTCCTGAAATTCTGTGACAAAGCTTTCTTGTGGCAAGAAAATAAATGTGTTGCATAGAAATCAGTTGTTCCTTAAGAGGCAAACCATTGTGTATGTGACATTCAGTGCAATATGCAAACACCTGCAGATGCATAGATGTGGATTGTCTCAAGTTTGCCCAATAAAATTCAATGAAAGATTATAAAATATAACTTTTAAATTAACTTGGCAATGGACTACTTTACTCATCTACTCCACAGACTATTGTTGTCCAGACTATTTGGTTTGAAATAATGGTAGATGTATGTACCTTCTGACAGCATTAATTTTGTTCCAGTGTTTAAGGAGAGAGGAATTGTTGAGATGTCTTTTTAGTGTGAAATTGCTAGAAAATCAGGCAGCTTCAAAGGAATTTTAAATTTTGATGTGTTTGGCAAATAATATGTGATACCCAACTAGATGAATATGTGTTGTCTGATAAACGTTTAATGAAAAAGGAGAGGTAAGTCAACATATTAGAAGAAAATTAATTATCTGATTCACATATTGCACTAAGCTATGGCAATCAGCTAAGCCATAATTAGTGAGCTTCCATATCGTGCTAATCCATATGTAATAATTTACAAACCTCTATACCTTCAGTTTGCTAAAGGCAAGTCAACAAATCTGATTGTAGCTTAGTCTGAAATTACCAGCATTTGAAATTACTGGCCAAATAAAGACAAAAAATTATCAGCATAAGACTAAAAATAGGAATTCTTGGGAGGTTATGATCTTAATATTGAGAAATTGGATTTGAATATGATCTTAATATTGAGAAATTGGATTTGAATATGATCTTAATATTGAGAAATTGGATTTGAATGAGTAGTAGGTTGGAGGCTGTATGACTGCCTTCATAAAGCTTGAAATGTATGCCTCAAAACATATACCGGTATGATAGAGATGTTATCTGTCAGACTGATAAATTGCCCAGCAAGTTGATAGCTAAACCTAGTACTGTAGGTCACTTATAAATTGTTACAGAGGCTATTCTCCAGGTATATCTCTAGAATTATTCTCATTTTTTTCATTATATATTTCCTTGTGTTGTGTGTTTATCAGATATACAGTGAAGCTTATGGTTGATAAAGCAAGCCTGGGTCCAGCTGAAGACTTTCAAGAGCTGCTAAACTATCTTGAAGAATATGAGAATGACTGGTACATTGGTTTGGTGTCCGAAAAGGAATGGCCACAAGCTGTTTTACAAGAAACACCATATCTTTTTTCTTTGGGGCATGACCCAAATATGGTAAGAGATTCCTGACTTTTAAGTGGATTTTTCACTAATATGCCACTTATTCCATTCTTGGATTTAATGGCAACGCTTACATATGTTTTCTGTTGGTTTTTTTTGCCAAGCTGGCGTTGTGATCCTAGCCCTCTTATTAGTATAGCACAAAAAATCCTTCAGAGGTGGGTGGCACAATTTATTAATTAATGTTTTAATTATGGGTTTAGATGGCATCAGTGAAGGACTTGTTTCTGGAAAAGTCTGCAAATAATTAGTTTATTAATATCAGTTCCTTAACAAAACAGTTTAAGACCTGTTTCATTTAAAACCTACCTAGAAATAAATCCAAAGCTGATTGTGACATTCCTTCCTGTGGAATCCTGTTAGAGAAAAGCTGTGCGTTTGTGTCATTTCCAAAGTTCAGAATTTGCCTTTGCCATTGGTATCCACTTGCTTTGTTTTCAGAAAATATATTAAGTCATGTTTTAGACGTCTTTTTAGGATTTAAGGTTTCATTGCATGGATATTGTTCAGTTAATTCCTGTACGTAATCTTTTAAAACAGAAATGCACTTTTTTTTTTCTTGGCTGAGGACTTTATATTTTGGAGAGCTGCCTTTTTTTTTTTAAATATGGGGTCATGACATACAGGTAGGTTTCAAATGACATCACGCAACCTCAGGATCTGCAGCCATCATAAATATATGCCAGGTGCCCAGTTTTGATTATATGACCATGGAGATGCTGCAATGGTTGTGAGTGTGAGGCCCAATCATAAGTCAGTTTTTTCAGCATCATTGTAACTTCGAACAATTAAATGAATAGTTGCAAATGGAGGACTACCTGTACTAAAATGGATTATAGGCGTGTAATATGACCACTCTCTAACCATGTTTTAACATTACCATCTCTATTATAATTAAAATTGCAATTTGATAACCATTTTTAGAGACCCCCATTTCTGTGTGTGGCCTGGAGCCTCAAACTGATCATCTCTGTGAAAAGAAGCATGTAACAATAATTTGAGAGCAAAGAATAAAATGACTGACATAGACAGAAGGTACAAAGAAAACAAAACAAAACAAAACTTTTAAAGAGTTACACAAAATCTTAGAGGCTCACCAGCTTCCCTACTGAAGGCCTGGACAATAGCCCAGTTTTAGTGCCTTTCAGAACATCATCAGGGTAAGAGCCATGCAGCGTTCCAAGGGGATACAGATAGTCCTCAACTTATGACTACAATTGAACCCAAATGTATGCTGCTAAGTGAGAAATTTGTTAAGGGAATTTTGCCTCATTTTACGATTTTTCTCATTACATTTGGTAAATGAATAACTGCTGTTGTTAAATTAGTAACACAGTTGTTAAGTGAATCTGGCTTCCCCATTGTGACTTTGCTTGTTAGGTCGCAAAAGGTAATCACATGGCCTTGGGACATAGAAATGGTCATAAATATGAACCAAGCATGTGAATTTTGATCACATTATCATGGGGCTGCTGTAAGGATTGTGTGAAAAATGGTCATAAGTCACTTTTTTCAGTGCTGTTGTAACTTTGAATGGCCACAAAGTGAATTGTTGTAAGTAGAGAACTACCTGTACCAGAGGCACTGTGACCTGGAAAACACATGACATTTTTTAATAGAAGCACCAACTGAGTCTGCTGAATTGTACTGGTTGAAATTCAGAGTCTTCTTCCATTAACCCATACATTTAAAGGACACAGCTTAAATTGGTTGTTTTCTGTGGTCTAGTCCAACCATATCTTGATCCAACAGTTTTCACAATATCCATGGCCCAGATTTTTCTTAGTGAAGAAAAATAAAATCTGACTTCTCTGCAGTGTTCAAAGACAAGTCGACTTTTTGTACTTATCTTTATTTTTCAGGGAGTTTATACTGGCAGGATGCTCACACTTCAGGAATTCCTAGTACAAGTGGGAAAACTGAACGACGAAGCTGTCAGAGGACAGTGGGGGAACCTCTCTTGGGAACTGCTATATGCCACAAATGATGATGAGGAGCGCTATAGCATCCAAGCGCACCCTGTACTCCTGAGGAACCTGACCATACAAGCAGCAGATCCTCCCCTTGGCTATCCTATTTATTCCTCTGAACCTCTTCATCTGACTTTCTTGTAGTTCCCAAAATGAAGCCAATTCATTCCTTCACTGAAAATTGGGTGGAATGGGGGCACTTCTTTGGTGAGGGGTTTTAAGCAGATGCTTTTTAGCATCAGGTGACAATGGGAGAAGATTTAATGCAGGCAATAAGATAATTATGTGTTTTAATGTTGTGTATTGTATGCATTTTTATATAAAATCCCTCAAATCATTACCAATACTGTATTGACAAGTACCTTTCAAAAGGGTGTAAGTTTATATACCTTAAACCACAGATAAGTATTTTACTGTAAGACGGAGTCTATATTTATGATTGTTATAGCATAAGTTTATTTTTTTCATCTGCTAAATCATACATTTGTATTATGAAAGGGATACTTGAAAAATATTTAATGCCTGTTCAATTTTGAAAAAAAAACATTGGTTAAGAATTACAAATTGAATTTTGGGGGAAAGAGATATCCTGGTTCGATAAGATGGAAGTTTCCAGCATCATTGGGCAACCACAAGCACAGAGACTTGTAATCATGCTCCTACTTACAAACATATCCTATTTACTAATGAGGAAAAAATGGAGGTCAACAGAAGTTGTGAGGATACACAAAAAAGCAGAAAGCCAGGTCACAATGGGAGACAGATCAGTCATAAAGTTTGGGGTTGTCAGGGGCTTGACCAAGCAGATTTACCATCATCGGGCTATACTGCTCACAGGAGAGGTATTGTAAAATCTGTATTTAGTGTCTTGTCACAGTGACAAAGCATTCAGTTCATCGGCAGTTGGTAGAACTATAAATCATACAGTGTAACTCCAAGAATTGACACTGGCTTTTTAGTACTTAATTGTTGAGTTGGAGATAGCAGATAAAAGTTTTAATTCTCCCAAGTTATGAAGCTATCTTATGAAAAACTCAAATGGAGCATGTTTCGGAGAGAAAAGGTTTGAAAAGTATTGACTGAGCTCATATATTGTAAAAAGCTATTTACTAAGAGAGCAGAATCATAATGGTGATTGACCAGAATGTGGCTGGGTCTTGTTTGTGTCCCTTTGCCATTCATTTCCCATCCCCAGTCCTTCTCTTGACTGGCACCAAAAATGTTGCTGTTTTTGCATGTTGAAAGGGAGGGGTTTAATTGGCTAAAATAAGCAGTTTAATAAGCATTACAGAGGCTTAAGGCACCCATGGAACTCTTGAAAATGGATCCTGGCCAATTCACTTTAGGAATACAGTCCCTGGCATACTATGGAATACAGTCCCTAGAATACTATGAAAAGTTTGTGTGGCTCTGAAGCCAATGAAACTTACACATTCCTGCACTAGGTTATAACCAAACCTTATTATAGGCTGGTGTTATATAAACCCAGCCAGGGTTGGGAGAAAGACAGATTTGAGTCATCATCTTGGTATATATGTTGAAAAGCCAACAAGTGAAGGAACTTTCTTTGGGTAGCCATCTCATGTTGCAAAGCCAGAAACTTTATACAGGTACATCCGTCTTGTTGCACATTTTTGCATCATTTTTTGCCAAAGTATTTGTAAAAGCAAATCATAAACTTTTCAAGCAGAGGTTCCTCTCTTTTCCTTATGCTGGTTCATGTTTGAAGGAATGTTTGGCTGCTCCTTTTCCTTATGAAGACTTTTTGTAATAAGAAACATCAGCATCCTATAAGAAACAATACAAGCTACTTAGGCAAGGCTAATTAAATAAAGTAAGCAAGACACTTAGAATGCTTCAGTCACAGAAAAAGCAAACAGTAAGTGCCATTAACATACAATTCCCACTCAACTATTCACTTTAATACAACATAAAATTGCTAAAACATATAATCCATACTAAAGTAGTGAGTTGCAACATTTTAAGGCTTAGTTAATAAAATACACCTAGGACATTTTTTTAAACTTTTGAATATGAAATCTTGAATCTACAGCATTTCATTAAATAAAACATTTGTGTCTGGAATTAAAGCATGTTAAAAATCCTATGATGGAAGAATCACACCTGGTTTTAATGCCCTATTTCACATCTTGGTTCTGATAAGCTATGAACTTGGCTTTGGAAATTTCCATAATTTACATTGAGGCAACTAAAAATACCTGGGAAATCTGGTTTGCTTTGATTCTGGAGTTGTATCAAGAAAGCATTCAGACTGTAGCAAACCATAATAATTTTAGTTCTTGGGAAGAACTCAGTGCATATGATTGAAAGACTGATGGTTTGGCCTGTAACAGCTCCTGGTTATATTCTCCTGTCACATCCACAGCTAAAAGAAAAGCAAAACCTCCCACCACTAGGAAGTTAGGGAACCTCTGATGCTTTACAGAATAAATACCCAGAAATGTGGGCTGTTGTCTCTCTTGCGTTTTGCAAGTTTAAGGGGAAAACTGCATAAAGACCCAAGAAGCTAACTGTATCCCACAAACCCTCAACTATTCCAAATATTAGATTAACTGGATCACAGTCCCAAGCATTGTTAAAATGCAGTCCTCTGTATGTTGGGCAAAACAAATGTTATATACAGCTTTCAGACTGTGTACCTAATATTCAAAATAGGAACCTTTGTGTTTGGCTTCCTATCAAGGTCCAGCCCAAAACAAGAAGGCATGTACATTATATCATGCAGGTATTAGAATTGCAGGAAAAATAAAAGTATGAACAAAAGAGAGATGGAATTTAAAAATCAAGGTGGCAGACACAGCTGCAATTAAAGTGCATTGTTTTTAACTATGGATGTCCCTGCTAAAAAAAATAGAGCTGCAGGCACCCCTAAAGTGTATATAGAGCCAAAATAATCAATTTCTTTCAAGGAGACTTAAATCTGGAGATATAAATGTGGCATTTTGCATAACATACTACCTTCTCAGATTTAAACCTACTCAATTAAATAATATCAGGATAGGAAAAAGATTCTATTTGAAGAACATACCACTCCACTCTTGAAGTTCTTTATCCGCTTCTTTCCCATGCGGTTCAATAGCCACCATGCCCAAGTGGGAAAATATTGCCACGTGTAACAAATTGCCAAGTAGGGATGGTCACTGACCCAGGCTTCCTTCACATCATTAGCTATGCTAACCAGGGTTAAGCGAGCACAGCGGTGAGTTGTCATTTTGTGAGATTGGTCCCCAACGTTTTGATTAACCTGGTAATGGGAATGGTACACAACAGAAAATTAGAGAAAATCAGAAAGTGCTACAAGTATGGCTTACTAGGCAAATTAATTTCTGTGCCCCTCCTTAAAAAATTAGCTGTTTGACATTACATAGCTTTTAATGAAGCTCTAATGAAGATTCCCTCCTCCCCTTTGCCATCATAAGGAAATCAAAAACAAAATCATTACAACAGCAGAACATTTCAAGTTGCACATAAAAGCAGATTTGCTTTTAAAAGAATGCCAGTGTGCCATTGGTTGAATTACATGGGCATCCTAACTTTCCTAACTCTGCACGTGTCTCTAGGCAGATAAAACGATGTTCTTAGCAAATAATTGCAATTGTTAGACCCAGGTTTGGTCCATCTTGCACTGTCATCAGCAATCAAGGACAGGGCAATAATTAACCAGAGATGATTTCATTGCTTTTTATTCTTAACTCTTTTAACAGTCCAGAGTTCGTTGTCCTTTAAACCATTTCAATCAGTTTAGTCTAGCGGTTAATGCCCTAGTCTAGAAAGCAAGAGACTGTGAATTCCAGACCCTTTTTAGGCATGAAAGTCAGCCTGGTGACCTTGGGCCACCAGGTCCCTCTTAGCCCAACTCACCTCACAGGGTCATTGAGGAGAAAATAGGAGGAGGAAGGACCATTAGGTATGTTCACCAGCTTGGGTTATTTGTAGAAATAATAAAGGGAAGATAAAAAATAAATAAATAAAATTCCTACCTTTGAAATTTCTTCAGTAAAGACATTTTGGATGATCTGTGACTGGACAGGCCCTGGACAGATATTAATAATACTTATCTCAGGATAATCAGTAAGCTCAGGCCGAAGAGAGTTAAAGAAGCCCTAAGAAAGAACAGAAAGAACTTAATAGAAGGGTCTCCCCAACCATGAACAGAATAAACTTATCATGTGCCTCAAAGATTGTAACTACATACAGATGCAGTTATAAACACAACCTACAATCTTGCAAAGTTTTTGTTATCTACTTTCAAGGTTTCAGATCCATAATACCTTTTAAAGGTGGGTTGTTATATAACCGCTTAGAGAGGGCTGTAAAGCACTATAAAGCAGTATGTAAGTCTAAATGCTATTACTATAAGCTTATTTGTGTTTTATCTATTTGGCTTCTCCATTTTTCTTTATCTATTTCAGGGGTGTCAAACTCAAGGGCCGGGGGGCGGATCCGGCCCACGGGGTGCTTAGATCTGGCCCATGGGGCCACCCTGGAAACAGCGAAAGACAGGCCCACAGTGTCTCTGCCAGAGAAAACAGAGCTCAGGAGAGTTATGGTGTCCGATCTGCCTAGTTCGGCTTGGGGACCTCACAGGCATCCTACCATAAAAAGAAGGGGGAAGGATGAAAGGGGGAAGGATTAAAGAGCAATGAAGTTTTGTGTGTACGTGATAGGAAATTGGGAGGGGGGGGGAATGACAGGTGAGAAGGACCAGAGTAGCTGGATCCTATTTATACCGGCATCTGATGGCCAGGCACCCTGAAAAATATGCTGATTAACACCTCCCCACAACACCTCAGAGTTCTCAAAACATTTTTAGCAGGCTCCCTTTGGCTGGAAACTGACAGGTCATGGGAGGAGGCTGGGGGCAAACCTACATCTTATTTTTATATCCAGCGAGTATGGTAATTTGAGGGCTAGCTTGGCTTTACTGCAATCAGCACTCTTAGTAAAAGAATGCTTTACTTTAATCAAATGGAATCAAAGGCTTTTCTTTCCCAAGTGATCAGATTGGGACAGGTCTGACACATGCAAAAATAAACAAATGTGATCATACCACAATTTTTTGTATATATTTTATTTTCACAATATGAACAACTGCCCAGATAAGTGGGGCCCATAGCCCGTCCACTTGGGACCAGGGAAGCTGCCACCATCACTGCCACAGCGGTGGCCACAAGTGCTTAAGCCATCAGGGCTGAGTTCCTCTCTGGAAACTGAGGCCGGCTGGACAGTGTTGGCCTCTGAGTTGCAAGGGCGTAACTGACAAAGCTCCTTCCGGGAGGCTTCCCTGCTCCCGAGTGGACAGGCTATGGGCACCACTTCAAAGAGCCCCATAGATGCCCAAATGAAGCTTCTAGACTAGGCATGGAAAAGCATTTGCATGCCTTTCGAAACAAGGTTTTGGGACCAAAACCACGTTGCTTCAAGTCTCTCACTGACGGGCGAACCCAAACAGGAAGCTTCTGGGGGCCATGATGTCATGTGACTTCAGCCCCTTTCGCAGAGAATGGGTGCTGAAGTTCTGCGAGATCAGGGCATTCAGATGTTTCCAGTTTGTGTTTGCATGCCAACGGCAGGCTTGAAGCAACATGGTTTCATTCCCAATGCCTTCCATTCGGCATGCACGAGCCTGGAAACCTTTGAAGAAGATCCACCAAGGCTGCCTGCTACTCCAGAAGTGGCAGGCAGCCTCGTTGAATCAGAGAAGCTGAGCAGGGCACACTCTTCCTACTCTCTCTGCTTTCACCGGGAGCAGGCAAAGAAACAGGCTGGAGAAGACACCTCGCTAGATCCTTGAAGGTAAGGGAGTCTCCACAGGCCTGCCTGTGGAGAACTGGCTGGGGGGGAGTGGGGGAGGAGGAAGAGGCATGGCGAATGTTGCAGTGTATCTGCAGTTGTTTGTAAGGGTGAACGACTGCTGCAATCCTGCAACATCCGTAACTTTGGGATTATGTGGTGTTTGGGGGGGGTTATGTGTTGTAAGTGCTTGGGGGTTAACTGTCATAACTCAGGGATTACCTGTACTGGGGTCTCTTCTCTTAGCCAAATTTTCATGGCCTAGCATAGTAGTCACCAACTGGTGGGCCATGAAAAATTTTTGGTGGTCCGCAGAGAAATGGCGCCCTAAAGTAATTAATCTGGGCTGCATGAGAAAACAAGGCTACTCCGCCCACATGACCCGCCCACCTGCTGACCCCCACCCTTCGGCCAAGCGCAAACCTAACCTTGAGACTGAGTAGACTAGCAAGCCTTAATATTAGTACAGGGCCTTTGAAACATCAACAAATTCTCTAGTTACAATTGCTACTGTACATTATCCTAGAACATAGCATTCCTGGCATCCTGCAAATATCATGGAATTGCAGTTTCACGAACGCTGGTTGGGGAACTTCTTGGAGCTGTACTCCCAACACATTCTGGGAACCTCCCTTGACCAAAGCAGCTCGAAAGAGACTTACCTGCAAAGCATGTTTGCTGGCACAATAGCCAGTTGCTAAGGGAGCTCCCATGACACCCATGATGCTGCTCATCGTGACAATCTTTCCCTGCTTCCTTTGGATCATGTGGTCCAGGACAAATTTAGTTAAGGAGATAGTGCCCAGATAGTTGAGTTCCATTATAGCATTATATACATTAACACTTGTATCTATGAAAAGAGAACGCTGAGAACGTCCACCGTTGTTCACCAAAATGTCAATCTTTTGTAAGAAAGGAAATGAAGGAAAAATTCGTTATACTACGGCTTCTTGTCTGCATCAAGAACTGAGGTTACTATAGACTCAGAACGCAGCTAGACCTCAAATAACTGTCTCTGTTTGAATTTCTGCAGCACCAGCTCATTATTCTCTTTCAACATCATTGTCTGGGATATATGAAAGGGCTTCTTACATATATGTCTGCATTCTCATGCTCCCTCTTGGGTACACTGAATCCTTTTTAAAAGGGTAACTGTATTCCACATTAAAGCAAAATGATCCTGCCATGCCAGGTTTCATCCCAATACAAATTGTGTGTTTCTTACCCTGCTCTGCTTCTTTCTCTGTCCCTCTGTCCCTCCCTCCTCTCTCTCTCTAAAAAAAAAAAAAAAAATGAAACTTACCCGCCCAAAATGCTGAAGGACAGTCTTTGTGGCTGATTCATGGGATCCCCTGTCAGTCAAATCAAGTGGCAAAATGAGGATATCTTTATCACTTAGGCTGCTGATCTCTAAAGGGAAAATGATAAAAAAAAACCAAAATGTCTTGTAGAAATAATGGATCTTTCCTCCATCCCGCCTCATAAACACAACTCAACATGCAGAAAGGGGTACCCAAAGTTCTCCTCTCCTCCCTCCCCTTTGATGTTCAATTTTTCACACACTCCTGACCCTTCGTGGTCTGATGGGCATCATTTGGCCAGTAAGTGCTCTGTTTTCCAATTTTATTCTACCTATCTGAACTGTCTCTCCAATGACTTGTCTTTGCATAGCGCACCAAATGTTTAAGCTCAGGTTTCAATATTTGTGTCCCCAGCCAACACCTCTTTGGTACTGCATGATTTGTACTTCCTGCAACTCAAGATATTCTCACACAGCTTTATAAAACATTGTTGTTCCATTTGAGCTACGGTTGGCCCCCACCCTGTTGTTTTTCCAAAAAGCCCTAAAAGCATGGCTTTGTAAGAGGACCTGGGAACCACAAATAGAGACAGAGCCAATCAAATAGCAGATTTGATTGTATTGTTGCTACCATGGGTGGTGGCGACAGTTTTTACTATATGATGGAATTTTTTTTTAAAAAAATTGAAAGGTACATGGAGTCACCTATACGTGAGTTGGACGGTTATATAAATTTCTTTAATAAATAAGTTTTCTCTGACATAGTTTAAAAGTGCAGCTTTCACAACCTTATGTTGCAACTTGAAAATCATGCCCTTGACCATTTGTAGCTTTTTGTTTTTCCCTAACTAATATGCCAAGTTAGCATAGTACATATTGTTACTGGAGCCCCCAGGAGTTTAATTCAAATATAAGTTTCAGCCCTTCAGAATATGCTATCTGTTAAATCAGGGTTGAGAAACCTGCATTGCTCAGATTGATTGCATGTGACCCTTGGCCTATTTTTAAAACTACTTTGCAGAAATGGATTCTGAAACACAACAAGGGATTTGTCCCTGCTACTTGGGATGAACTGCCTGGTGTCAGAAAAAAGAAAAGATGGCACCCGAGAGAGAATATGGGTGTGTGATCACTTCTGGCTCTTGGCCAGGCCTCTGAGGGATGTGATTCTCTCTGTGAAAAACCAAACTGTTATTCCTTAAAAAAAAATTATTCAGAAGGCAAATGTAATTTCTGGAGCTGCTTATTGCCCAACAGGGGTCTGCTGAGCTGAGGACAGGAGAAACTGCAGTCCAACATGCCTGAAGGGCATGAGATTGGGGAAACTTCCCTCTTCTGCAACAGCTTCATCCAAGCTTTTATATAGCCCCCACTTATCTATGAGCAGAATATAAGAGTAAGGGGGAGTTTCTGCAAGCTTGTCATATTGTAATTTAAGCGAGATAAGGAAAGCAGGCAGAACTGGATTTCAGTCATTCTTTACTGGCAGTGGCCTATGTCTGTGTATACGCATGCATGGGAAGCAGAGGGTGGGAATATATAGGTCCACTCTAAGGCATATGTCTGGGAGGGAAGATTGGGGGGGGGCTTAGAATGGAAAAATCAGCAACTGATTTAATCAGAGCTGCTGTGTGCTCTTTTCTCCCATATGGATGATCAGAGGGTTTGGTGTATTTTTTCCCCTGTAGTTATTGTATCCATCCCATTTTTGGAACTGCACTGAGCTTTTCCTTATACACCAAACGTATTTCCATTTTGTTCAGTTTTCAGAGAGTTATCACACACACATTGGTTGAAAAAACAAAAAGTATTCTCACAAAATTCTTCAAAGTTTTAACTAGTCTCTTTTGTAAATCAGCTGGTTTCTTTTGTATGTCCAGTACAACATCTTTTTCCAAGTCTGTCTCAAAGCCTGTGATTTTAAATTCCACTTTTGAATCAGTCTCAATCATGTCACGTAACACTTCTTCCTCTTCCACTGCAAAACCCCACAGTAATGTTCCCTGGAGTATTTTGGTTTTCTACTAGAACATGCCAATCTATCCATTCTGGGGGGTTTCATAATTTTCCAGCAGTAAATTTCCTAAAACAGTGTGCATTATTTCCTGTTCTAGAAGATTTGTTTCCAAAAAAATACAAACTACCTCTGAACAACCAAACTGACACACTCCAGGAAAGAAAGAAACTATTCCAAGGAGCACTCGATGTTCAGAATAGAGTTTTGCACATTCCTGCTTTAAAAAGCTGGACTATTTTTGCTGGAGTGTTTTAAAATTATAATTTTGAGGAAGAGAAAGGACCTCCAGGTTGGGTCCAACTTGCATGAGTTAAACCTAGATGTTCTGTCTTCCCAGGATTTGGAGCAGGGGTGTCAAACTCAAGACTCGCGGGCTGGATCCTGCCCATAGGGTGCTTAAATCTGATTTGTGGAGCTGGCCTGGAAATAGCAAAGGACCAGCCCATGGTAACTTTGACAGCCAAAACGGGGCGTGGGAGGGTGTACATGCCCCCCCCCCCATGTCCTGTTTTCAGTCTAGTTAGCTTCTCGCAGCACTCTGCCAGCCAAAACAGGGCATGGGGATGCGTGAAGCCCCCCACACCTTGTTTTGGCTGGCATGGTACTGCAGGAGGCCCTCCGGGCCGCAAACAGGGTATGGGGGTGCCTCACATGGCCCCACGCACCCCATTTTGGCAGACAGGGTGCTGAAGGAGCCATCCATCCCATCTCCCTCCCCGGCCTGGTCAGAGAACTACAATAGCAATAGCGCTTAGACTTATATACTGTTTTATAGTGCTTTACAGCCCTCTCTTAAGTGGTTTACAGAATCAGCCCATGGCCCCCAACCATTTGGATCTTCATTTTTACCTCGGAAGGATGGAAAGCTGAGTCCACCTTGAGCCTGGTGAGATTCAATCTGCCAGATTGCAGGCAGCCGGCAGGCAGCAGAAGTAGCCTGCAGTTTGGCACTCTAACCACTGCACTACCACAGCTCTTAAAATAATCTGATTTATTTCCCCCAAAGGTTGGTGACCGGCAGAACTGCACTCTAACCACTGCGCCACCCAGGCTCACTGAGATCACAATGCTGATCTGACCCTTGAAGAAATCCACTTTGACACTCCTGATTGGGAGGAAACGTTTAGGTTTCCTTTCTCTTCCTCTCAGTGAATTTTAAAGCTTACTCCACTAGTTTCATATGTCACTTCAATAGCAGCAGAATGTGGGGCACCAACATGCCAGGGAGGTATTGTGGGGTGTGACTTGACAACCTGTGGTTTCAGAGCAACTTATTTGGAAGCAGATCTGCAGGGCTCTCCCTCTTTCACAATGAAATCAAAAAAGACATAAGATGATTTCTCAGCTCTGAGCACTGAATTTTAAATGATAAATCTGAAAGTTAATGCTGTATGTTTTATCTGAGGTTTATGATTTCTGTTGGGTTTTTTTTTTTAAACTAAAACTCCAGTGATTTTGAAATTCTATAGATTCCTCTGCCCTCTGCTTCCAACAACAACACATTAGAATTCAAGTCATGGGTTACATATGATGGCATCTGTTAATGATTAAATCACTTGCCATAAGTCAAACAAAGATAATTAATCTGGCGCCTTTCAGGAGCTAAGCTAATATAATGTGCAAAGCACCAAAACTTTCCTCTCTGCCCCACTTGGCTATATATCAAAAAAGGGAAGGAAACCTGGATAAGCTAAACACCTAGGCAACTACAGCCTAGCTCAACCAGCCTAAGGCATAAACAGTATCAGAATGACAAAATAATCTTATTGACAATTAGCTGTTCAGTGATAATTCAATTTTTCCTAATCTCGTCAGCATGATACCTCCTGTAATTGCCAAGTTTCATTAGCACCAGTATCAAAATGGTTTGCTGTTGCTTCCTTCCGGAATATTTCTTATTTTCTTTCTTACTGCCTTGGTTTTTGGGTAGCATCCCAACTGAATACTAGACCAGTTTACTTAACCAGGCAAGGTCAGACAGATGCTGCAGAAACCTAACTGGAATTAGCACAGCACTTAATATAAATATGCCAAAAGAGGCACACTAATTTTTGTTCTGTAATTGTATTTGCAATTCTTGCAACCTAGTTAAAGGAAATTGCACACACAGACTTCTAGAATAGTCCCTACCAAGGCACTTCTTTTTCACCCTCTCCAATTCGTTTTCTCTTCTTGCTGACAACACAAGCCATGAGCCAATCTTGGCCAGCTGGTAGGCCAACTCTTCTCCAATTCCGCTGGAGGCACCAGTCACCCAGACAACTTTCCTAGGCAGCTCCTTTTCTGGGGAAGAAAAAAAAAACAGCAAAGTAGATGACAAGAATAGGTGTCAAGCACAGAATATTAGGAGTCCAGGCAGTACAAGTGAATATAGGTTTATTGCATGCTAATGCTCTCTACAGGAATATGAACTACTAATGGTCAAGGCAAATTGGTGATAGATAAAAATCAATGGAATTCATTTGGATCTCTTGTGGACATGAAGGGACTTGAGACTTATGGCATGTTTGCCCCTTCCCTCGGGTTCAGCAAGGTCATGATGCAGGTTTAAAATACAATATAAATGTTAAACCAAAGATAGCAGTATCTTAAAACATTTGAAGACTAATAAATGTTTATTTATTTATTTATTTTATTTTGCATTACATCATACCTTTTTCTGATTAAACTCCACAAAATCTAAACATCATAAGTAGATTTCTGTTAAAGGGTCAATGTTCTTTCTTGTCTTGAACTTACGTAGAGGATGCTAAGGCCAGTTCATCATTAGGCAGCAGAAGAATGTGAACTCTTACGCAAGCAATCAAACTACAAGGTGGTTCACAGAAAGCAATCTTCCTAAGGACATCATTGGCTTTTTAACTCTGTACCCTTTGGGCAAACATAAATCCCCAAGGACTTCGCTGGGTCTTTCAAAATTTGCAGGCAACAAAGCAAACAAGTAAGCCTGCCAAATATATGTCTACATCTTTAGCTACAAGATACTAGACATGCATATGCTCTGGAATACATAGCTTTATTCTGAAAACAGAAGGCTACCTGGAGTTTTCACAGCATATAATGGTGAAAATCTTGTTTTTGCTATTGCTCTATACAGGATATAATGAAGATTTGTTTCGTTTTAAGCAAAGGTAGAAACAAGAAAAAAAAAAGGTTATGCTGGATCAAGCCACAGACCTATCTGTTCTGAAGTTTCCCACAATGGTGATTAAATGCCAATGGGAAATCCCCATGCATTCCATGAATGAAATAGCATTCTGATATTCATAATGATATACTGAAGTTAATATATTACTATTTAACTACAGGTATTATTTATTTATTACATTTCTATGCCACCCATCTAGGTGATGCAGAGACTCTAGGAGGCTTACAATATAATAATAACTTAAAAAGTGCGAGGATAGAATAGAATAGAATAGAATAGAATAGAATAGAATAGAGCAGAATAACTTGGAAGGGACCTTGGAGGTCATCTATTTATTTTATTATTTGATTTGCAAATCGCTTACAAGAAAATAGGTATAAGTATAAACATGAGTAAGAATACAGGAAATAGGTACGAATAAATGGGGACAGTAGAACAGGGACGGTAGGCACGATGGTGCACTTATGATGCCCCTAGACCAATCTCGTGCTTAGGCAGGAAAACCTAGACCACTTCAGACAAATGGTTATCCAATCTCTTCTTAAAAACTTCCACTGTTGGAGCATTCACAACTTCTGGAGGCAAGTTGTTCCACTGATTAATTGTTCTAACTGTCAGGAAATTTCTCCTTAGTTCCAGGTTGGTTCTGTCCTTGATTAGTTTCCACCCATTGCTTCTTGTCCTGCCTTCAGGTGCTTTGGAGAATAGCTTGACTCCCCTCGCCTCCCTTGTACTCGGCTTACAACCAGTTGCTTAATGACCATTTGAAATTTGGACAGGCACCCCCACACCAAAAAGATACTTACGAACCAGTTCTGAAGTTCCGATGACCACACACAGCCCCCCCCCATGGTCACATGATGCAGTTCAAGCACTTGGCAACCCAGCCTGCCTTTATGACCCTTTGCAGGATCCTGCAGTCACATGGCTGCAATTTATGGCATTTTCACTGAAAATCGGCATTTACTTCTGCTTTTTGCAAAAATGCCCCATAGTGAAAAATGAGTTCACTTAAAAACCATGGCATTTACTTAACAACTATGGACTCACTTAATGACCATGATGATTCACGATCACTGCAAAAAAAGTTATAGAATCAGGTTGATTACATGATGACCCATGACTTATTACCCTAATGGGCAGTCTCCATTATGGTTATAATTCACGGAATACCTGTACTCTTCTAATCTTTGAAAGGAAGATTACCACAACATATTTTGGTAACAAATCCCATGAACTCAGTATTAAATGCAGTACTTTATTCT